GAAAGGTAGCTTTAATTTGCTTCAGGCAAGGTAGTGACTTAAACTTGATTCTTCTGCTTCTGGGGAAATGTTCCAACACCTTGAGCAAGAAAGGGAATTAGGAAGAAACAGTGACCATTCTGTTTGCAAGGAAAACCTGGACCTTGCTGTGTTTTTGAAGATTTCGCACCATTCTGCAGAAAAAGGTCAAAGCTAATTGTAACTGCAAGGAGGTGTGTCTGTTTGACCTATCATTGTTAATCTCTGTCCTGAAAATCCTGTCTTCTGTAATGCTCTTTGTTAACTGATTTGGACATAGGGAATTGCATTTTGAGATACCCATTTTTTAAGAACAAAGAAATTTCATCAGTAGATGCCATTTGGTTTTAACTATTAGAATTGCAAAAAACATGTAGACTTCCAAAACCAAGGAAGGCTTACTGTAAAATATGAAGTTCATAAGTGTTTATTGCTAGCTGCTTATATTACTCCAAAGTTTAAGAGGGGAAGAAAAAGCCATGCATGTAAGAGTTTGAGATTTTTGAGAACTGGTAGTGTAACAATACGTCTTTAGAAGAGTCTTTTTCTGTCATTTTGGGGCTGGAGTACTTGTCAGTCATTATTGGTCATTTCAGCATCTCTGTATATTCAGTTGATCATAACAGGCAAGCTTTCAAAAAGAATGGGAGAGAGTCATGTCTCATTTGCTGCCAATAACTAAAAATTTCTGCAAGAGCACCATGAGTACTTTGATATTCCAGTATTAATTCCTACCCCTTTTGAAGGCTGAATACGCTTCAGCTGAAAAGTTTCCACTTCAGTCATTGCCCAAAGTTTATTAAAGTAATCTATAAAACCATGAAAACCATTATCTCACTGTCTGAACTGCCAAATCTGTGTATTCTGAGAGACATTTTTGGCTTTTAAATGTACCTCTGCTTTGACAAAGAACTTTTATTGCCACTTTCTGTCTTTTTTTTTTTTATAGAGTTGAAGCATAATACTGTGCATATTATTGCACACTCTGCAATATTATGCAAATATCTTAATTTCTTTGCCTTGAACTAAGTTTTTTAAAACATAGATTACATCTTTTCCCCTTAGGAGGTCATGATGATGCAGTCTATCTGAGAAATAAAGTCTGCATGATGTCTGTTACCAGATACATTACCCTTAGTTTTTAATTGAAGAGAATAAGGGTCAATCATATTCAGTAGTACTAAAATATATTCAGCAATGAATGAGAGTATGTAGCTATATTCTGTAATCTGCCCAGACGTGGCATTTAACATGTGCACCAATCCTATGAGCTTCGCACAAGGTGCATGTCTGCATATAGCTAAATAAACAGCTCGCTTAATGCCATCAAAACCTAGTTTGATGCATTGAAGCAAAGAAAATGCCATCAAATTAATAAAAATTGTAAATGAAGACACAGAATGAGAAAGGCAGAGAAGGGAAGCGGTGGGGAGGAAGAACCACTACCACGGCTCATCTGCTGGAGACCTCCCACAGCACTCCACTGTGCACATCACCTCACCCTCTCACCTTGCCCTGCATCTGCCTGCATACAATGTGCATCCCTTCCTGTTAGAAGGGAGATGAAGAGGTCATGAACAGGTAGACATACAAAAGGAAGAGACAGAGTGCCACACCAGGATTGTGATGCATTGACATATATGGTGGCTTCCAGAGAAAGTAAAGTTTGTGTTGGTTGGAGGAGAAGTTGGAGCAGTTTTCATTAATTAGTTTCATGGTATTGTGGCAAGTATGATACCTGTGCGTAATATTAACTGTTTTCAATGAGATGTTTCTTATTAATAGATGATTCTATTTTACTTTTGGTCTACTCTCCAAGTAAGTCACACAGTTTGTGCTAAATTGCTTAAACTGTCCAAATGTAAAACAGAAAAAGATGAATAAGAAAGTAATTGCAACCACAGAGGGATCCATTCACATTCTTAACCATTACTAGTTGAAAAGTTTGGCTCATATATGCAGGTACTATACAATAGATATATTCAGTCTTCAGTATAAGATCTGAATAATATGCATGACATTGTAAATAATGCCCAAGGCCATGTACAGTAATGATGAATGAGAAGTAAGAATTGTTCCAATTTATGTTCTAAGTCCTACCTTATAAATGCTTGAAGTCCAAATCAAAAATCTTCCTTTAGTATGTATGTAGGATTCCTAAAACAATATATAGAGACCAATGGGAAGAGGCCTGCTATATCAGGCATGGGATCTGCCTGGAGCACAGCACTCCATCTTTTCTGGGCTTCTGCACAGTTGCTTTCAGAGATCACATATATTCAAATACAATTTAAAGGTTTACTAGCTTAGCCACTGCTCAGCTCAGCTCCTCTGCTCTTTTGCTTCCTGGGACAATGCTAAGTCTTGATATCACGTGCTGCCACACCTCAATTTTCTGGTTTACTTGCCTCTTCTAATCTGCTCCATTTAACCTCTGTCTCTATAACAGTGTCAAGTCCCAGCTTTTCCCACTCAGTACAATAGGACACTTTAGTAGTGATACAATGAATCCTTTCTTGTTCATCTGTTGCCTTAGGCCTCTCTGAAGTTCCTATGATTTATTGTTCCCTTCTGCTGTTTCAGCCAAACAGATGCTTGGGCTACCTTGTGTGTTTCATGGCACAGTGAAGTAAAATAGATGATAGCCTGAAAATTGCACACTGCGTATATCTGTATCTGTAGGCTTGGTATCTTATGCATGAATTTGAAACTTCTCTTATGAATATAAAACTACTATACCACAGAAACAGTGCATTGCATTTACGTATTTATTTAATTTAGAACTGGATTTAAAGGGGAAGATCCTTCTAAGAACAGGCACATGATTTCAAAACAAAGCACTGTCGTTGCCTTCTGGGAATCCTGGTCCCACCACTCATTCTTATGTCTCATCAAATAAACCGTCTTTTATTTGTTATCTCTGTGCTATTGTGTCAGGACTACTCAACTAAACAATGGCCTGCCAAGCAAGCACTGGTTGTGTGGTATTGTGCAACACTGCAGGCATCATCTATTTAGCAGAATATACATATGCCGTGACGGTGCTAAATCAGATGCTGTTCTTCATACCAGTGCCTGAGATTTGTGTGACAAAACTTCTCTAACAGTGGAATTAAGGGAGATGTCAAAGACAATGAAATCCACTGAATACATAAAGAACTACCTGCCTATTAAAGAACAAAGCATGTAGCCATTGTATTGGGAAATTTTATTGCAAGACCTTCATATGGCTTGATTAAAAATGGATGTTAATGTGAAAATTTCTATTTGCTTTCAGTGTTACTTACTATTTACTTTGCATCATATAGGTAGAAACATAAAGCTTCTATTGAAAACAAAAATTCAGACCTTCGCAATAGAATGGTCAGATCCTAAGTTGTATTACAAACAGCTTTACGTAGAAAAGCTTGGGAAAAGATGATGTTAACTATCAGAGAAAAAAAAAAAAAGGAAAAAAAAGAAGAAAAAATCCCGACAGAGACTACATGTCTAAAATCTATGCCCTCTACTTTAGCAGCCCAAGGTGGTCACTACCACAAGAAATACACACAAGAGAGTGCGTAAAAGAGTGGGTAGGATAAAGATTACTGAGAAATGTCAATTCATAAACCTGCAGCCCCAAAAGCAAACAAGGAGGTGAGCACATTGATTGGAGTGGGAACTCCCTGTCTGCGTAGTCAGACACAATTCAGCCCTGGATGAGGCTGTTGCAATTCAGCTCATGAGGTTGTTCACTCTGACAACCAAATGTTCCTGCTTCTATGAACAGAGAGCTGGGTAATGTAAGCGAGATAAATTTGTCTCTTTGGATGGCTGAACAACCCTTCATCAACCTCATAAGGGCTTCATGATACTCTTTGGATATAAAAATTTGATCAGCAGATGAGAGATCATGGAATGGGAAGAATACTTTTGTTAAATAATTTTGTTTTACAAAAACACTAGGAAACTGATGATCGTAGCACTTTACTACTCTTAGTAGTTCTGCAGTTGTGTGATGGAAATATAATGACAAAAATGTATAAAATCATAAACTTAAGTCCTTTAATTATCTGATATTTTAAGCTAAAATTTATATTTCAAATTATTTACCAACTGTATATCCCTAAAGTGCAGGGAACATTTCACAAAACTTTTTATTGTCTAGAGATAGACTGTTGTCTGTCTGTGTAAATTTGTCAAGAAAGTAATCAAAAGCTTTAAAAAAAATAATAATTTCTTTTGAGGACATTTCACGTCTCTTAGGCAGAGGAGTACTTTATAGTTCCCATTGACAGCATGGGATTTATTCTAAGGAGGTCTGGACTATTTCTGCTTTGCTGGATCACAGATACTTAGCCTTGGGTCTATTTTGGTCAATAAGGAAATGCTATCTTGATAGTAGGATTTGTATTCTGTTTATCACAACTTTGGTATGCACAATTTACATTTGTAGATAGACATAAAAAAGTTTAGGGAAATAATAGTTTCAAAAAATTTAACTGCTTCAAATGAAGTCTAAGTTTTGACTCTGACTTCAACAAGGGAGGCACCTTGACTTTTGTCGAGGAAGACTGATGTTAGTTTTTCACAGCACACTGAAAGTCTGGCTCCTTTGGTTTATTGATTTGAATGCAGCTTTTGCATGTTCAGTTTAAGCTGGCATTTTAACAATGCACATTTCTAAATTACTGGTGGTGGGATATCGGTGAGCACGTATTCACACTGTTTAACTCCAAGACTATTCGTGGTCAGCAAGAATTTATCTGTTGAAACTTTGTGGCATCCTGGGTTCTTGGTCTGCCAAGAACATCAGGAGTATTTTTATTCTATGGGAAAACAGAGGTGAGATTTAACACCTTATGGTGACCGCAGAGTATCGGGACTCACATTTGAGTGGTGCAGAGAGGTGAGACGTGTGTTTAAGCCCGCGGTGCCGGAAACAGTCACCTGTGCCAGAGCAAGAGGGCAACACCCTGCCCCTGCCCCTCCATGGGAAGTAGGATTGACATCTCCCGGCTGCCGTGTCGGGACCGCCCTGCTCTGTCCCGGACGGAGTTCCGCGGGCCTCTGCGGCACCCTCGGGCACCTGTCCCGGCCGGGAGCCGCCACCTGCGTTCCGCTTCCCGCCTCCCGGCCGCGCCCGGCCCCGCGGGGCGCCGGGGCGGAGCAGGACCTGTCCCGCCCCACTGGGCCGCAGGTCGGGTCGCCGCCGTAGCCCACCCTGAGCTGTCCAGTCCCGGCCGCGGTCGCAGGATCCGCGCCCCCGGCGCCGGGCGATGGATCCCGAGTCGGCGGGGGACGAGCTGTCCCGCTTGCGCTCCCTGTTCCTGGCGTGCGACGCCAACGGCTCGGGCCGCATCGAGCGGGAGGACTTCGCGGCACTGTGCGCCGAGCTGCGGGTGCGGCCGGCCGAGGCCGAGGCCATCTTCCAGCGCCTCGACAGCGACCGCGACGGGGCCATCACTTTCCCGGAGTTCGCCCGTGGCTTCCGCGGCGCCACGCGGCCGCAGCCCGGTGGCGGCGAGCCTGGGGGCGAGGAGGGCGACGGGGAGGAGGCGGCCGCGTGGGTCGCCGCGGGGCTGGAACAGCCCTGGAAGGACTTCGAGGTGCGGCTCGGTGACGAGGCGAGGTACATCCCCAGGTAAGGTCCGGGCCCGCCCGCTCCGTGCCACCCACGATCCCGGTGGGGGGCGCGGGTCCGCCTTCCCGCGGCTGGGGGCTGGGGCTGGCGGCTGCACAGCGGCCCCGCGGGGAAGAAATGGCCCTCCTGGCGATCCTGCCTTCGGTGCTGATGCAATCCCGGCTGGGAGACGGCCGTGCAGCCTGGCCCCAGCGCCTGCAGGTGTGTAGAGTCCTCCTCACATCTGCTTCCCGGCTTGGGTGGTTTCCAGCGCTGTTTTTCCAGCATGCATCTGCTCTGTTGCTAACTCTCCGCTGCGCTGCCAGCGACCCACGTGGGAAACTCAGGCCGGTGGAACGTACGGGATGCAAAGTTCTGCCGGCTCCGCAGGAACTTTCTCCCCGCGCTGTTCCCCGACCGGCCCAAGAACCTTTCTTCCAGCCCAGTCAGCCTTTTCCTGGTAAACAACAGTTTTGCCCCATTTCAAACAGATCAGAAACTTCACGTAGGTCTGTCTTAACTTGTTCCTTTTCTACACACTTGATTTCTACAGAAGGAGAACAAGAACAAAAGCCTTTTTGCAAGTTTGCAGAAATAGTTAGTAACCTAAAGTCAGGCAGAAACTCAACAGGAGGTGAAAAAAATCTGACTCATGGACAGCGGTAACTTGTGAAAGCATCAATTTAATTTTGGTAATAGTCTATGTCAGTATCTTGGTTACTATGTATTGCAGCAGCAGTTTGAGTATTGTCTAGCTGATTGTCTAAAAGGATAGTAGGAGGGAAAGGTAATAGGTTTCATTGGCTCCACTGTGCAGATGCATCCCATAGTTGTGCTAAATTCATTATGACTCATTTAATGTAATTTGTGTTATGATTCTTTTACAAGAAAACTTCAATTAACTAAATTTTGATAATTAAATACTACCAAGTTGGCTGTATTCTATTCGTATTCAGCTTTATAAATACATTTGAACATACTTTGTCGTTTGGTGTATAAATTAGGTGTGTGCCAACATTAGCTGAAGAACAGTGTGCTCTTTGTTTTCTTGTTATTTCTCTTTCTCGTCCTAAAGTGCAAGAAGCAGGTCTGTGTTACAACTCAGTTTATATCCATTGGCAGGCCACACCTTTTTTGTTGAAACATACGTGTAAAGGGGCTTTTTCTTGTGAGTAGCCCCACTGAAATCATTAGAACCACTTACGTGAGTACTGAATATATTAATTTGTTTGAGGAGTCTTAAGCAACAGAATATAACAAAATCATGTGAAGTACAAGCTGGAATTCCAAAAGTTATTTAACTTTTTATTTAAATTATTTAGTTTATTTTAATTATTTGTCACCTAAGGATTTAATTTAAAAATGCAGGTAACATTATGGTTACATTTAATCTGGACAAGGAGTAATTAAACATAAAAGAATGCAATGCCTTTGGCATATATGTAGTGAATTGCCACTGGAGATCTGTTTTATTGGGAACTCACCCGTTTTCATTAGTTTATTCCTCAAAGAAGTATTTGCAGTGGTACAGGAGTAGACAAAAAAAGTTCAGAAATGTACCTATTTGGTGCTCCAGGTAGTGAATGCTCCAGTGAATTGCCCATACTGGAAAGGTTTAGTCCTTGACTGTGTTACTGGGTGTTGCATTCTTTTTTGTGGCCAATCTCAGATTTAACTGAATTTCAGTAGTAAGATTAAAAGGTTCCCTCCACACTCCTAATAGACATGCTCCTGTAAGCATGTGGGAAAGTCTTCTGATGGCTGTCCTTTTCCATTCCTCAGCCTGAGGAAAGAATGATACAACATCCACTGACACTTCAGGATAAAACCTGTACAGTGAATGCCATGACACGTATTTTTGTCTATAAATTACAGGCAAAAAACTTCTGCAAAACAGATTTTTAAATTTAATATCAGAGACCTTCAGTCAGAAAGAAAAAAGATTTGGGACTGTCAACAAAGACTTTAAGCCTTCTGAGGCAATATTTTTGAGATATTTGGCAAATTGGGTAATTTTATTGGAAAATGATCTAAATTAATTTGATCATAAGGGAGTGAATGAATCTGGAGCAGAAAGTTTTTATCACTGTCTTGAGTTGAATTCTGCCTCTGAGAGTCCTCATACTTTATTGCTTTGCTTTTGGTCTTGGGGTCTGTTTTATTTGTGTGTCTTGTAATTTTGGCCAAGCTGATGGTTCATCAGGCTCTGATTTCAGTGCTGCCAGACTGTGAGATTTTATGCATCATACAATTCCAATATACTTAATGTGTTATGATAACAGTGTGCCCCAAAGTCATGTCATCTGAAGCTGTATAGAAAATGTGGATCTGGGGGATGTGATTAAATGAGAAAAGCATGCTGTTCTTGACACGAGCTGCTTAAACTGTGAACACAGGTGATGCTCATGGAATATACTTATGTACTTCAGCAAAGAATAGGAACTCTACTGCATAAAAAAACCCATCCAAAACCTGTCATGCTCTTGCTGTCATCAGCCAGGACGGACTTCTGCCAAAGTCAATATAGAGCACAGCCTTAACTCTTGTCAGCAATTTGTGTTTACTTCCAAAAGAAGACGAGCTGGATATCAGATATCAGACAACCAGATATCAGAACTGGAGAGGTTTCCTTGGAAATTGAAGCATGTTCCCTGGAGAGGGAATAAAGGCAAATTCTAAGGAAAAACAAATACTGGGTCCTCCCTTGTCACAGTGCTGAAGAGGGGATCTCTGCTGTAAGAATGTTGTCCTGTCTTTTAATACATCTCGCGATAGGGGTTTGACAGATATGTTCTGCTGAAAATGTGATGGAAGCCTTTCTGTAAGCCAGAAGACTTTCTGAGCTAACATAAGTTTTAGTGCTTTTCTGCTTTTTACTTTAATCAGAACAACACCTGTGCTAACTAACTCAAGCACTGTAGCATTCATTTTCCTTGCGTTTTAACGTCATACGACCATTTGCCATAACAGTGTCCTTTGAGGCATTCTCCTTTTCCACAGACTTCATGCTTCCCTGCCTGTCCCACAGTCTTTTCCACTCCTGCTCCACTGGCTCTAAATCACCCCTCTGTTTTTAGAAGGGAGCACCATTTGTGCCTTGGAAACAGTGAAAATCGTTTCTCGGGGAATCAGACCTTGGCTGAGCTCTCATCTGGGGGTTGCAATTTTATTTGTCTTCTTTTAATGCAGCCTATTTTTGAAGGGGCAGATATGGAAAAAGAAAAGGCAGTGTTAAAAAAACCCCTAGCGCTTCAAGTTGACAAATGCCTTGAATTTTACACCATGTTAAAATTTTGTGTAATCTGTTTTTCCTCAAGGCATTCAATCCAGATGATGTTGGGTACTCAGCTGTGACAAAATTGGAGCCTTTCCATTCTGTAATGAATTTGGTTGTTCTTTTCTGGTTGCTGATGCAGAGTGGTGTATGCAATGTGTCTGCTTTTCAGAAAAAGGTACTGCTTTATCTCTTGGTGGCACACGCAGGTGATTGGTCTCCAGCGTAAGGACAATCATCAGACGCATAATGCCTGATCTTTCTTTCCCACCAACCACCCTGCTCAGACATTACTGGCTCAGACCATCTTATACTTTACCTCTTCATGTCCATACCACAACAGAGCTGCTACAAGTGATAAGAGAAATTTTACAGGCTGACCTACACTAGGAAGAGGTCATTAGAATAGTGTTCTAAAACCAAATACTGCCCGCAGGGTCAGACTAAGGGGAGCCCATGTAACACGGCATATTCTGCTAAATACACAGGGGGCACATGTCAGATATCAAGCAAGTGTTGAGTTTTTATTTGTTGAAAAATTCCATCAGCTCCCTCTGAGCTGCATTCAGAGTGTGGATCTTTAGGCAAATGGTCACTGTATGATAAGGAAACGAAAAATAATCCTATGAATTGATAAGGATTCATATAGCCATGTGGGTTAAATGAAATTATGACACTTAATATAATCTAAATATCTGGTATCTCTTAAGACCAGTGCTGTGGGGGTTTTGATGTGTTTTTTTTTTTTTTTCCCTTTCTCCTGCTCCTCCTGTATTCTGCTATCCTTCTTTAAATCTACCATATTACAAATTGCTTTATGTTCAGAGCAGTTTTATTTTCTTTATGTAATTCTCTCAGGAACTCCCTGAAACCATGTAAATACAGTAACTTTGCTTAGGTTAACTCATGTGAAGTTGGGCAAATATTGACTAATTACACTTACTAAGTACTAATTTTACAGACAGTTTATTTTATAAAACCTTTGAGATGAAGTACTTCAGTACTGCCAGAGCAATACTTGGCCAGAATGCTATACTTACTGGGGATACTAGTGTTTTATGTCTGTACTTTGCAGAAGCAGCAGGAAGGCATGCATGTGTAGTGTAACCATAGTGCCAGATGAACAAAGTGACAGTCTTTCATGTTGTGTATTAAAAAATGCTCTTTCTATGCATTAGTATTTGTGAATGTCTACGGTTGTGTTAATGTTGAACTTAAAGAGGTACAGCTAAATATGTTGAAAAGTGATTTTAGGATTTGAGGAAGTCCGGTTTTAAAGGGCAAACCCAGCCATTTTAGATTAATTTTCCTGAAACTGAAGTAAGAGCATTTTAATTGCCTTTTTGTCCAGCAAAAAGACAGACTGTTTAGAGTTAAAGTCAGCTTGGTGAAATCCATTTGTAAAATCTTCTTTGATAAGTAGTTTTGAAGACCTAATGAATTTACAGAAAGAAATAGCACATGTTTAAGGAGAATTTGGGGCAAACAAACAAATTGGGCAATATTAATTGCAGCTAATCTGCTCTACTGCAGTGGTGTCACTGGTATTCACCAAAACATGTGAAAACAGAGAAGTGATTGAAAATACCAATTTGAAACAACTAAACATCAAATACTTACTGTATGTTGATATGAGTGTGTACATAGCTGCATCCTTCTGAAATTCTGCTTGTCTATAAAATATTATAACAGTGTACTTGCTGCTAATTCATCACGGATACTTGGAGTGACTATATCAATAACAGTATTCCCAGTTCATGAAAGTGTATTACTTCTTCCTGAAGGCATAAGTGATTAAATAGAGTCCCATCAGTTTTGTTACAGGACTTTGATTTCTCCCGTGTCTGGTTGTTCGTTAAGTTTTTTGTTTGTTTGGGGTTTTTGTTTGTTTTTGTTTGTTTTTTTTTTTTTAATACAGTGAGTACACCCTGTAACATTGCCATAGAAGCACTCACACAAGTGTCACTGAGAGTTTCAGTGACCAGTTGTGATCTATAAAGCCTTTCAGGCCTTTTCCAGGAGCCAGCATGGTCAGCATGGTTTTAGTTGTACAGGTCACTTTTTGACTTCTTAAGCCTAACTACTTCCTAAAACTGAGTCACTGAGTTATTCTGAATCCATCTGGGTGATAGCTGGTCACTGGGATAAAAAGGAATATGAAATATAAGTTTTCTTTTTAATCTCAGGGGGAAAATCTTTCAGTAGCTCCTTTGTGCTTCTGACTACTTCGTCTTAAAGCAGATTTAGATGTAAGGCAGAGACTGAGCAGCATGGATATACTGATTTCTAGCTTTAATTTGGGAATGTATATTTGCATATACTTTGAAAAGAATCACTGAATTGTTAGAATTGGAAGGGACCTCTGGAGATCATCTAGTCCAACCCCCTGCCAAGGCAGGCTCATCTACAGAAGGTTACATAGGAGCATGTCCACATGAATTTTTAATGTCTCCACAGAATGAGACTCTACTAACTCACTGGGCAACCTATTCCAGCGCTCTGCCACTCTCAACACAAAGAAGTCTTTTCTCATGGAGGTGGAAATTTTTGTGTTCTATTTTATGGCTATTACTCCTCGTCACTGGGCACTGCTGCAAAGAATCTAGCACCATTCTCTTGACATCTGCCTTTGAGATATTTGTAGGTATTGATAAGATCCCCTCTCAGTCAGACTAAACAAGCCCAGTCTGCAGTCTCTCCTCGTAAGAGAGGTGTTCCAGAACCCTGATCATATTCGTGGCCTTCTGGTGGACCGTCTCCAGTAACTCATTGTCTTTCTTGTACTGAGGAGCCCAGAACTGGACACAGCATTCCAGATGTGGCCTCACTATGGCTGAGTCACCTCACTCACTGAGTTACGTACTAGGGGTAGGATCACCTCCCACGACCTGCTGGCCACACTCTTCCTGATGCATGCCAGGATACCACTGGCCCTCCTGGCTGCAAGGGCTCACTGCTGGCTCATGGTCAACCTGTCATCCACCAAGACTCACAGGTCTTTTTCCTCATAGCTGCTCTCTGGTAGGTCAGCCTGTTCTGGTACTTGAGGTTATTTCTCCCCAGGTGCAGGACCCTACACTTGTACTGTTGAACCACATTAGGTTTCTCTCTGCCCAACTCTCCAGCCTCTCAAGGTCCCACTGAATGGCAGCACAGCCTTCAGGTGTATCAGCCACTCCCCCCAGTTTCATATCAACCACTCCTCCCAGTTTCATATTGTCAGCAAACTTGTTCAGGCTGCATTCCAGCCATTCATCCAAGTTGTTGATAAACAAGTTGAACAAGGCTCAAAGCAGTACTGATCCTTGGGGAACACCACTGACTGCAGGCCTCCAACTGGATTCTGTTCCTCTGATCACAATCCTCTGAGCTCTACTATTCTTGATCCACCTCTCTGTCTATTCATTTAATCCATGTCCTGAGCTTACCTACAAGGATGTTGTAGGAGACAGTGTCAAAAGCCTTGCTGAAGTCAAGGCAGACAGCATCCACTGCTCTACCCTTGCTGACCTGTCCTGCCATGTCGTCATAGAAGTCTATAAGATTGGTCAAGCAGGATTTCCCCTTGTTGAATCCATGCTGACTCTTCCTTATGACCTTCTTTTCTTCAACATGGTTGGTGATGACCTACAGGAGTTTCTGTTCCGTGACCTTTCCAGGGACTGAGGTGAAGGCTGACTGGCTATAGTTTTCTGGGTCCTCCTACTGGCCCCTTTTGAAGATGGGAGTAACACTGGCTTTCCACCAGTTATCAGGCACCTCTCCTGTTTTCCATGATTTTTAAAGGATGGTGGAGGTTGGCTTAGCAACAACACCTACCAGCTTCATCAGCCCTGGTGGGTGCATCCCATCAGGGCCCATGGATTTACAGTGTTACGTCTTCCTAGATCATCTCTAACTCAACCCTCAATTTCCGAGGGAAATTCTTCCTTTCTTCAGCCTTTTCTTACCTCCAGGCTCTGGGATTCTTGTGGGCTGGCCTCAGCAGTAAGAACAGGAAAATACAGCATTTAGTATCTGCTTTCTCTGTGTCTTGCTTTACTAGGATGCACTCATTTGATTCAGCAGTGGCCACAGATTTTCCCTAATTTTCCTTTTGCTGCTGATGTACTTGTAGAAACTCTTCTTGTCCTTAATATTCCAAGTGGGCCTTGACCTTCCATGTGGTATCCCCTACATATCAGTGTTCAGAAGAAGCTGGAAGAGGGAGTAGCTGTGGGTGTGGCATTCTTGTTAAGAGAATGAAAGCTGTGGAAGTACATTGCAGTATTCCACTGCAAATGTATTCTATTCCTGGAACAAAGTGAGCACAGTCTACTTGTTTCTCTACTCCTATCAGTGTAAGACACTGAACCTTCAATTTTGCTACTCCATTAATAATTTCTCTTGTAGGAAGTCTTTGCTATTGTGCATGTTATATAGTTATATATGTTATATACAGTTATAAAAGTCCTTGAAGATCCAATCCTATTTCAGTGACCTGTGATTTGCAAGACAGTCATGAAAACATTTGCTTAAGTAACAAATCTTTTATGTTAAGGTCAAGTAATAAGTAATTTTCCTACTGTTTGCCTCCTTTCTAAGAAACAATGTTAAGCATAGTTTTAGTGAAACTAAAAGGAAGATAGAAAATTGCAGAACACAGATGTTTTTATCATGTTTACATTTCATATTTCTAAAAATCTTGTATGCCAACTAAAACTTTTTTATGTTTTAGATTGGGCTGAATTTGTCTGCCTTGAAAGACTGAGAAACTGTCCATCTCACTGTGGCTAGTGCTATTTCTATTTTACATGCAACTCATTTAAAAAACTGTGTGTATATTTACACTCTTTGAACGAGTGACATCCTTCAGCAGCTATTTCTGGATATGAACAGTGTCTACTTCTGTCTAAAATTTGAAACTATTCTGGAATAGTTTATTGCCTGTTTTGGTGAGCAGTTTACAGCTCTGAAGGATAACTACTGAAGTGCTAGGAAGTTATGAAATGTGTCACGTGTTAGCAATTCTCCTACTATGAATTTTATTTTTTCAGTAGCTATATGAAAGTAGAGAAGTGGAAACAGTAAGCGTAGTGTAGAAGAATTGAGACATACTGTGCTGAATGTTCAAAGTCCTTATCTACCTTGCTAAATTTTAAAACTAGGCAAAGAGTTTTTCCATCTTGATTTGCAGTAAATTTTTCAAACCTGTAGTAGAACATTGTTCCAAATAAGTGCATTAAAATGGTATCTCTCATTTTCAGGCAAGAGCAGGTCAGTGTTCTGTATCAGAACATACACATAGCGGAACCAAGATTAATCCAGTCATACGAACATGTAATTAAGAACTTCATCCGGGAGATCAAACTTCAAAGCACAGAGATGGAAACTTTGGCCATAGCGGTAAAAAGGTATAGTGAGTTTTGTTTCTAGTTCAGTTCTGCAATTTCTTTTTTTCTCTATCATGCTTCATTAGCTTAAACTACTGAGAGATAATACCAAAATAAGCCAGGCAAAGTATTTCCATAAATCAAGTTCAAAAGTTAGTTTATATGTGTGCAGTTGTGCATCAGCACATGTAGCAGCATGCAGAGAGTTCCATGTTCTTACTTTGGTAAGTCCTGGACCAAATTTTTGTAGACTATTGTTATGTTGAATGTCTTAAAACGTTTTGACTCCTCCTCATTGGCTGCAACTTTGAGTTTTATTATACATGTCCATTATGCTTTCATTCTAGAAACTGTATTTTTGCTTCTTGAGCTTCAAGGAGTGTATTTACCTATTTTAACTACTTGGCATTTACAGTCTCACGTAATTATTACCACAACCAAACAGATTAGCTCGAGACAGAGAACTTGTGTATGTGGGTGATGCACGTTACTGCAGTTACCCTTCATGGGATAATCTGAGAGGCCTTTTATCTCTGTAACTTAATTTTAAAAATGCAGATATGATGTATTTCATGCTAGTCATCATCTGTCAGCTACTATTTAAAATCTAATTTGCCTGTCTCCTCAAAATAATTTGGGATTCTGGTTCCCAGGCACTTCAGCTTCAAGGGGGCAGTGTTAGAGAGTTTCCCTATACGACTGTCTAATTTGTTTCAATTGAGGTAAGCAGGTGTGTTTCACACAGTGTTTCTGTCAAACCAGAGGGCAATTGCTAAGAGTATATTTTTTTTAAATTTTAGAGCTCAGGAGAAGGCAGCAGTTCAGCTCAGTGAGCTAGAGGAAGAGATGGAACAACGGATACAGGCTGCAGAGCATAAAGTTAAAAAGGAAGTGAGTAATTTATATTTGCAGAATTTCGTAATTAGAGAGCTCTCGGTGGTCTTAAGCAGGATTGATGGCCAGGTGTGGTTTTGGTCCTGATGAGCTGACTCAAAGCTGCTGAGAGCAGGACCTGGATGAAAAGAAGCTATCCTTGAGGTAAAAATGAATGCTCTTAATGCTTTCCCAAAGAGGAATGTCTGCTCTGATGTAATGAAAACCAAGAAAAAAGTGTCTTTCTCTTTTATGAGAATATGCTGGCCAAGGGGATTTTCTTTCTGAGACCAATATTGCAAGCAGATTGGAGAAAAAGATCTTTTGCCATAAAGGAATGGAAACTAGTAGATGAAATTAGTAGTAGAATTAGTGCTTAGATCATTTAGTCCTAATTTGTGTATCTGCCTGGAGTAACGATCTTTCTTTCCTCCTTTCTCATCCTCCAACTATGTTTTATAGAGTTATGGACTTAAGAGAGGGTAGTTGTGATAACAGTGTGTGAGGGCCTGCACCTCCCAAAATTGATGGGAAAATCTGTTTTGATGTGCTTAAGTTTTAGCTGTTGTTTCAAAGAACTGGCAGTCTTGATGGAAAAGTACAAAAATCCTCTTGTCCTTACCCATTGAAAGATATATTAGAGTCACATGTGACTGTGTTCAAAGCAGCAAAACCAGTTGTCTGCTTCATTTTGAACTGTTGCTAAATTAATATAAGATGAGCCTTAACTTTACAATATGCATAAGAATAACAGTTTGTGAAAGTGTTTTAATGTGGACATAAGATATGCATTAATTAAAACATATACTATGAGCATAATTATTGCTTGGTAGGACACACAATATACTGAATGTCTGTGTAGGTTTGCTATGGGTTCTTTCACCAGAGCATTTTCAGAATCAGAAGCAACAAAGTGCTTTCTGCCAACCTGTTGATTTTAAGTAGTTCACAGTAATTGATCTGTGAAGTTAAATCCTGATAGATTTGCTTCAAATGGCATATTCTTTTATACGAGAGAAAGCACTCCTACCAAACCACAGAAGTCAATTGTTTTCGTAGAAACAAAATATAGTGGCATAAAAATGTTAATAAAGATATCACCACTACAAAAAAAGTGTGTTGTAATATGTTTAACTACTGGTATTGCATCTCCTAGTAGAGATAAATGTTCATTTCCAGAGAGACTAAGCAGTTATGTTTGGAAAACAAATACATTTTCTCTGGAAAATTGCTATTTCTCAAAAACCGATAAATTGCTGAAAAAAGCCCTTAAGACTTTTTCATTGCTGTAAAAAGATGACTAGGATGTGTGCATTTTCTCACACTGAGAACATCTACAGTTATGTACTTGCATTAAGCAAAAGTACATCTTCTACGTTACCCACTTTTAGTCTGTATTCTCATTCTAAAAAGTCCTCGAATTGACACCAAGTTGCAGGAATTGCAGTTTCACTGTTCACATCTACCTCTAGGTATGAAAGATGAGCTGTTGTTTCTCACACTTCTTTTTTCATTTTCACTCCTCAGTGTTCCCTTGTAGCTCCATATACTCCACCTAGTAAAACGCCCTGAGAGTAAATGTTAAGTTATTTACTTTGTGGGATTGTGCTAAGCCATTAATCTTAATGCCTGTAATCAAGGCTATTGTTTGTCAGAGTGATCTCACTCATGCTACCGGAACACCTGCCTCTGCAGAACCTATCCTGTATTTTGTTGCTTCAAGGGAAACAAATATTTACCGAACAGTACTGAGAAGTCCTGTATAGTTGCCAACAATAGGGGAATCCAGCTTAAACTGATTACTTTGATTACTGTTTTAACACATGGATTTCAACATCACCTACAGGAAAGCACTGAATTCTGAGCAAAGTCCATGTCTGTCTTTTCCATGTGAAAACTCAACCTGTCTCATTGGCACCACTAGTCACTGCTGCATTCTGATTTCTTGTGTTGTGAAACTGCACTGAAGTCCCTAGGGAGTGACTGAAGTGAGTTAAACACATATTCATTTATAGCACGCCACACATACCATTCTTTTCATTGTGGCTGATGTAGCCTCTCTTCAAAATCTCTCTGTTTTGATTAAAATAAAACTCAGAATATTCTGAGTACTTGGTTTGATATTCAGACTTTTTGATATATCATATTAAGATACTGATATTCAGGTTGAGTACCATATGAAATTAAAGATACTGTTATCTGTTACCTTTTACTGACACGGCCCTGTAACATCCCAACACTTGGGAGCAAAAAAGTTTAGGAGAAAAGCCAAAATAAAAAACTAAGTGATGGTGGCATGGTAATATTATTACTAGCACATTGTATGCTGAACCATAGAAGACTGGTTTGAAAAAAGAACATAACGACCCAATTTGTGCTTGGGTGTGTATGTATTCATCTGTATATTTCACAACAACCAGTGAAAACAGAACTGGACACTGCCCCCACCATGGGAGAAACTCTTAAAGCAATACAGCAGGTGAAAATTGGCAAGGCAGCTGGAGTTGATGGAATCCCACCTGAAATTTGGAAGTACGGTGGCCAAGCACTCCATATTAAGTTTCACGAATTTGTGGTGCGCTGCTGGGAAAAAGATGAACTGCCTTCAGACCTTCATGACGCTGTCATCGTCACCATATAGAAGAGGAAAGGAGATAAAACAAACTGCTCAAATTACCGAGGTATTACTCTGCTCTCCATTGCTGGTAAAATCCTTGCAAGAATTCTTTTGAACAGACTAATACCCACCATAGCAGAAGATCTTCTACCTGAAAGCCAATGTGGTTTCCGAGCCAACAGAGGTACCACAGACATGGTATTTGTTCTGAGACAGCTGCAAGAGAAGTGCAGGGAACAGAACAAAGGACTCTATGTTACCTTTGTTGATCTCACCAAGGCTTTCGATACTGTGAGCAGAAAAGGTCTGTGGCAGATTTTGGAACGTTTAGGATGTCCTCCCAAGTTCCTCAAAATGATCATCTCGCTTCATGAGGACCAGAGCGGTCAAGTCAGATATGGGGACACACTTTCTGAGCTGTTTCCAATAGCTAATGGTGTGAAGCAAGGCTGTGTTCTTGCACCAACCTTATTCACGATCTTCTTCAGCATGATGCTCCAAAGGGCCACGGCAGACCTCGATTTTGAAAACGGTGTCTACATTCGATATCGTACCGATGGGAGCCTTTTCAACCTAAGGTGACTGAAGGCCCACACTAAGACCTTAAATCATCTTATCCATGAGCTGCTTTACGCTGATGATGCCGCTCTCGTCGCCCACACAGAAGTAGCTCTGCAGCGTTTAACATCCTGCTTTGCAGAGGCTGCTGAGCTTTTTGGTCTGGAAGTCAGCTTGAAGAAGACAAAAGTTTTATATCAGCCTGCACCTCAGGAAGTCTTCCATCCCATTGGTGAAACAGTCCAACAG